GTTAGGGTAATATGAGGGATAGAACCTGCAAACCTCTTCCATCAGCACCAGGATTCCTCCCCTCCCCGAAGACTTCAAGAATAGAACACTCTTGTTGAAAGCTAATAGCATATATACTCTCAGCAAATGAGAAGCTATGGAAGCCCTTTGCATTTAAGTGTTTCCCAATAGCGCACCAACCTACCATCCCCAAGGTTGAAAAGGGACTTTACTAGCAATCAATAAGGTGCTAATTGCTCCTGGTAAGCTACTAAGGACTTTTTCTTCCCTCTTCAGAAAAAATTGTCGTCCATCCTCCACAATATGACCTATCGATGATGAGGCTGACTTTGTGTCAAAGGGAATCCTTCTCTTCAGGGAATCTCCATAGCTATTTATGTAGCCAGTAATGCCTAATTCTTTTGCTTTAGCCTTTAGGTTACGAATGCTGAAGCTTTTGGTCATTCCTTTATTGCTACCTTTCTGCTAAAAAAATTATAACTACAGAAGTCTTCTGCTCAGAGAGCACCAAAGAATAATTTTCATTGCATTATGACACAGAACTTTGTTTCTCAAAAGCTATGTTCACGAAGCAGTAATATGTAGTATCATAAAGTACTTCTCTATGTTATAACACTTACTAGTATATGCATAGTGCAAATGGATCAATTACCTTCAGTGTTTCGTTCCATGTGTTGAACTTCCAATTCATACAGCGCCCACAATGAAGTTGGTAACTTGGTAGGTATAGTTCCTGGATCTGAAAAAAAAGAATCTTGTCATGTAAAAGGGAGAAAAAGGCACTTCAATTTTGGTTCCTTAACCATTCAACGTATGGTGGTTAGACTTTTGTGCAATATTACAACAACAACCTCTCTAATCAAGGCCAGGTATAATGATTTCCAGTTATAATGTAACGTTTGTTACTTCTTTATGTCTAGTCCAGGTACCTTGCAATGACATCAGTTGAAGAAGCCAATGGTTGGTATGGTGGTACATTACTTGGCGATCAAGATGAAAGCAGTGAGATATATAAACACTATTCTGAGTTATGCGAGGTAATTGGATGCTGGTCATTCGATACGCAGCTTATAGCTTGTTGCATTCATTCATTCATTCAAATGGTTAACTGTTATAATTTGGCTACCGTGATATGCCTTTAAATATGTTAATTTTTTTTTAATTTTTAATTTTTTAATTTCATAATGGAGAGAAATGCCCTTTATCGAAGTATGATAAATATATATGAAAAAGAGGCGGCTCTTCTTGTCAACTGTCTCGATAGCAATCCTGCTACAGCAACTCTCTGAATGCCATGACTTTCCCTCTCCAAGTGATTTTATTTATAAGTTAAGGAACATTTTTATGAAATATTAAGTCTGCTCCTATGGTAATTCAGTTTTGTATGTTTTCAAGTTACTTTATTGGCAGATTACTGATGTTATTAGTGAGCTAAAGATTTGTCCTTTGATAAAGACGAAGTTCAAGTCACAGATTATGTTTATATTTTACTGAATTAATTGCTGTTTGAATTTTGTTGCCTTGTGATATGATATGACACAAATGCGAATAGATTAGATTATGGGGGTTTCTTTGTTAAATGGGGTGATTGCAGAGTTGACATGCTTTGGAATCTTGATTCACAGGGCCCTGCCACGATGTCCTTCCAGAATGATCCTGAAAGGGAAAAGCACTATGCTGATCTTCTACGCATGGGTGCGATTGATGTTATAGATGATGCTTCTATCGAAGAAGACATGGAGGCAGCTTTGAAGGAGTATGATGATATTGGAGTGGATCTTGGGATCATACCTTCATCGTGCAAGTACTTTGCCGAAGATCCTAGTTGGTTGACTAGATGGATCATTGGAGAAGAGAAGCTGCAGAGGATATGAGTTGAATGAACCCCCATTTACATTACCTATTACTAACTGGTTTATCACACTGAATTGCTTGTCTACGTGTTCTAACATTGCGAATAAAGATCATCGGTTGTACTACACAGTACATTCAAGCGAAAACCGAGATAAAATGTAAAAATGTGCCTGTGTATTTTTCAAGGAGGATCAACTGTAGTCATTTGCACATCTCCAGAACCTGTTATTAAAAAAGTAGTCATCAGCTCACTCGTCTTCTGCATTTCACCTTTTGACATGTTTGCAGTAGAATTATGCGATTCACCGTTTAAAGCTCTTTATGTTGGGAGCTTATAACAGGCTGTAAGCGAGAGATCCAACTTGCTTACTGATTAATAAGCAAAATGTCGAAGTCAAAGGTTTACGATTTGGCCATTTTAAATCTGAAACTAAGGGGCGCCCTAAAATAGCTGCTTTTTCGTTTATCCGGTTTGTCGCTCCTTTTAGGTCGCGTTCAATTACTATTTATTTGATTGATTCTTTACTAGAATTTTTATCGAATCATAACCAGACTTATTATTGTTGAAGAATCAGATGTAAAACAATATAATTCTTTCTTAATTCTTGTTAATTACAAAGAAAATTAAAAAAATTGTCTCAATGTTATTTTTTATTATTAAAAAAAATAATTTTTAATTTATTTCGTTGATGGTAAATAATTTTTATTGTAACAATTTATTTAATATTAGATAATAACCCATAATTAAGATAAAATTACATTAACAAAAAATTGTTTAATATAATTTTTATTAGAACAATAATCTTTAATATAAATGATATTAGTCAAATCGATCATAGTTTAAGTGGGTAAGACATTTATCTCTGATCGAAAGGTCATGAGTTCGAACCCCTATTTCACTGTTGTACTAAACAAAAAGATATTAGATTTTATTGTTCTAATATTTTAATAACGATAAATCTTATTCTAGTAATTTTTTTATGCTTTGTTAATTAATATTAACAAAGTAAAATTAAAAATGAAAATTTTTGTAATAAAATCACATTAACTCATAAGTTATTAGTATAATTTTTGTATTCAGAAGAAATCTTGTTAGTGATATAAATAAATAAAAAATAAAGTAAATAAATTTATTTTGTTCTTACTTTTTTAACCGTGGCAAGCACAACTGCACAAGAGGACAAAAGGGAGGGGAGCCCACTATTATCCTTTATTATTTTAGGTGCACACGTTGAAATGCAGCGCCGAAACACCTGTCTCTCAGTACAAACTACGCGTCCATCTGTTGACTATCTTCCTCGATAATAAATATATCTACTGCCCTTGATCTACGTCTCTTCGTCATTTTGAACTGGGAACTTGAAGATGACCAACCTATTTGCTTTGTGTGTCATTGTCACTTCTCTAACTGCCGCGGGACTCTGGTCTCCTTCTCCGGCGTCCAAGCAAGATCACGAGCAGGATGTTATCGTTAAAGAAGGCCACCGAGTGGTTGTGGTCGAGTATGGCGACCAAGGTCGACAAAGTACTAAAGTTTCCATCTCTCCGGAACCCGAGTCCAAACCCAACCCACTGCATAACCCCAGCGCTAGCCAAGACTCCGAAACCGAAAGGCACCGCTCCAGAGATCTTATATGCGATGCCTTCGGCAAATGTAAACATAAGATAGCCAATGCCGTGGGGAAAGCTAAAGTGATGGTTTCGGAGACAGCCGAGGACGTCGGAGAGGCTGTCGCCGACGCATTCGATGAGGCCAAAGACACTGTTTCAGACAAATCCCATCGAGTCAAGGAGTCGGTTGAGAAAGCCAGAGAGGGTGCCAACGGGTTCGTGGAAAAAACGAAAGACACAGTTTCAGGGAAAGTACACGACTTGAAAGAGGGTGCAAAGGAGAATGCGAAGGAAGTCAAAGGCAGAGGAGAAGGCGTTGTGGAGGATTCTGAACGACAAACTGCAGAGAGGATTAAAGCTGGTGGAAACAAGCTGATGGTAATACTTGGTAGAGGAGTAAAGCTTGTGAAGGGTTCCGTTAGGTACTTGGGTTCCGCAGAGTCATTGAGATCAGTAATGGGTGTGTTGAGTCTGCTAGGATTTGCTATGGCTTTGGGAATGGGCGTGTGGACTACTTTCATTTCTAGCTATGTGCTGGCGATTGCGCTGCCAAGGCAGCAGTTGGGTGTGGTGCAGAGCAAGATATATCCTGTGTACTTTAGGGCCATGGCTTCCAGCATTGGGATGGCCTTACTCGGCCATCTATTCAGCCATAGCAACACCTACACAAAGGCTCAAGTGGTCCAAGGATATGTACTTTTGGCTGCACTTTTGATGACTTTTGCCAATTATATCTACATGGAGCCTCAAGCCACCAAGGTATCTTCTGACCTTTCTAAGTTTACCAATGCCCTGTTATTGTGTATTTATTGCTGTGCGACTGCAGGTAATGTTTGAGAGGTTAAAAATGGAAAAGGAAGAAGGAAGAGGAATTGAAGATATAACCGCCGATCCAGCAATCACAACCAGCAAAGCCGCAATGTCTGCTACATTGCAGGCCACAGAAGTTGTAGACCGGGAGGTGGTGAAGTCCAGAATCGTGGGGTTGAATCAGAGGCTAAAGAAGCTGAATTCGTATTCATCCTTGTTAAACCTGCTCACTCTCATGGCTCTCACCTGGCATCTTGTGTACCTCAGCCAGCGTCTTCGCATATCGTGCTGAGAACACAATGTCTTTCTTTTTTTTTTTTCCTGCTTTGTTTTATTAAGATGATGTGCATATTTTACCTGAAGTAGATACTAGATAGATAGTGTTACTGTTATTAGGTGGTCCAGTCCATGGTCCAACAAGTAGTAATGTCAAATGTTGGAACTCAACTTTGCCCTCCATGTTTTCACATGTATTGTATTGTATTGTATTGTGTTTTCACATGTATTGTATTGTATTGTATTGTATTGTATTGCTTTCTTCGATTTCCTAAATTGCTGGCAGAACTTTGTTTGGATCCTTGGCATCTGATATGGAGAGTCGATAGTTTAGCGATCATGTATCGTCTCTTCTATACAGTTTACAGAAGCATCATCACAAGAAGGGCCGAAACAGGATCAAACACAATTTATTCTATGGAGATAGAAAATCATAGGGAATAAGCAATCTGGCCATGTGCCGGCCTAATTTTCCTTACTCGAGTTGGTTCGAGGTTCTTGATGAACGCAATTCGTTCACTAACAAACTCAATCTTAAAGTCTATTATGCAACTTAATTCTATCAAGTTTAGTAAACAATTCAAATTACATATACCGTTACCTTCCAGGTGATGTGCTAAAAATAGCTCCTGCTCGAATTCTTGGATTTTAGCCTTTTCTTTCTCCAGTTGCTCTTTGAGTACGGTGACTTGTCTTCTGAGAAACGTTTTGTGGTCCATCATGTATTTTTGTTGTTTCTTGATTGGAAAATTCCTAAACCTTTCCAGCACATCGAATGCTTGTTGTGGAGAAGGCCAAATCTCGATTTGTGAGTCGTGGACATTATGAATAACCGCACAGGCAACAACTCCGCATAGTGTCGTAAGTTGGCTCAGATTTTTCAGTAATCCCGCCTTCCTTTTCTTCAGTGTTGCTCTTCTCAAGGTCCCGTTACTAATCAAATCGTGCTTGACCTTGCTCCTGCCAATGCTTCAATAATATGAAGAGAAGCCTACCTTTTGCCCCAGAATATATATACCCCTCCTGTGTTGTGTTGTATATGGCAAGAAATTGCTGCGGTACGTTTTAAATTTTCGAATTCACGTGGATTGTCCCATTAACACAGTTACTACAAGCAACATCAGAAAATATGGAATGCTATTGAGGAAAGATTCTGAACGAGAAGGATTTGGCTGTTAGGCCTTCCAAGTAGGGAAGGTTATCCCAACTAAGAGAACCAATCACTCTAAATGCAAATAACAGCAAAAGAGGTCTTTTTCAATCATTGAAATAGGAAATAATCCACTGTGAAGAACAAGCATCTCAAATATGCAAGAATTTAAATTAGATCAAACATCATTAACTCAGAATTCAGCAGTACATGACTACACGTATTATTTGCCTTTAGATGGTTTTTAGATTTCTGATTTCTGATATTAACAATCGGATAGACAAGTTCGAAGGGTGTATTATACGCACCGGCCATGAAGGAAGTTTTTAATGGAATGGAGGCGTGGAGCAGCGTCTTATGTTTTTTGTCTATAGATTATATGATGCGGAATATCCTTAAAATTAAAATATGTATATTTATATAGGATGGGAATGGAGATGAAGACACCGGTCTATACTCTATAGCGTGATTCTGGATGTAGTATACAGTAACAATAGAAATGAACCACAATAATCAGTAATTCATATCTAATATTCGTGAATTTCCAAGTTAACATCGTTTATCACATGATAGTAACCATGCTCCCGCAGGCCATAACTAAACCAGATGACCTCGTCGACTTCCTCGTTCCATTCCCTTTATGTCATTTTTCATTTTTGGGTTGGTACAGATTTTAAGCTCAAATACATTCACGCACATGTTTTCGAACAATTAATTTTACATTGATCAACTCAAATAGATGGTCCACAACATCTGTTCATCTCAGGTTTAAATTTTAAGATCAAACCCAAATTCTAATCGCAGAACATATTCTGAACCCATTAAAAATTCACAAAATCTCAACAATTTGATGACATTTACACTAGCAACAAAAACACCGAAAAAAAGAAAGTGAATTGATATCAACCTAATAGTGGAATTACATTGCTATTTTTAAAGTCACAAAATCTCGCATCCCCATTTATGTCGTTGTCACCATCACCACATTCATAAACAGATCGAACGAGTAGTAACTGGTCATCCAAGTACCTTTGTAATAGACCGATCTCTTCCTCCCCGTCCTCCGGGAGCGCTGCTGCGCAGCCGCCTTCCTCGCATCGCCGCAACCGTTCGATTTCTGGGGAATCACGAAGAGATATGCTTCGCCTGTGACGAGCTAGGCGGATGCAGAGCTCTATGGCACAGATGAAGGGGAAAGTAGCGCAGAAAATGGGAACTAGGAGGGGGGAACAAAGCAAGACAAAGACAAAGCGGGTTCGGCTGGAACAAAGCCAAGAAGAGGCAGCAGCAGCGGCGGTGGCTAACATGATGACGGGCGGATTTTTATGGAAAACGGAGAGGTTGAGGATCGAATACATCCGGCTCGTAAGATGGACTTCATGGTGTGAGCCTGAGGAGCGGGGAGAAGGTGAGACTTGGGGGGATTGGGGTTATGGCTGCCAATCTGGGTTCTGGGTCTCCACGACGAAGACGCCTCTTCCTCTTCAAACCCAAACCCAAACCCAAAACCAAACTCTGTTTGTTATCGTTTAATTAAGTGATTATTAATCTATTAAAATAATACTCTTCTGGACTTTTTACTTATTATGTGGCATTGACTAAGAGTCTACGTGGCAAATTTAATTGCCAAATACGATGGGTTTGGTTCATTTCGGTCAAAGAACTCCAACAACCCCCATTTTGTGCAAAAGATCATGGGATTATGGTATATCATAAGTCACCTTCAATATATACCCAAAATAATATCACTAACAATAGATTCCATTTCCTATTCTTCTGAGCTTGAATCATAAGAATTGTTACAAAATGTAAACTTAAATGAATTTTTCGATTTTTTTTTCTGTTGAACTAAAGTTCAAGGTGAGCGATGAACATGTAATATTGTTGGAAGGCAATACAACTCTGTGCACGTTCCTTCTCAATTGTTGCTATCCCTTATAATTTGACTTCTTTTGCTCATTTTTTTCTGTCCTTTTCTAATGTCCGATCCCTGCATAATTATAATTAAATTTAAAATAAGTCATTTAAAACTTTCATATATATATAAGAAAGTATCAAACAATTTTCATATGGCGGAAAGTATTATTTCAACATATATACAACTACTTCTGCACTATATAACATTAAAAAAATAGCTTATATTATGTATACCCTGATTTTAGTTTATCATACATTATAGAACATTCAATATATACCTTCATATTTCACACATTAACACATCATGTGTTAATATCTTCTGAAGAACATTTTCTATAATAAATAAATGGTTAAAAAACATTTTTAGTCTCTATAATTTTGCTAAAGCAACAATTTAATTCATGAACTTTAGTTTGTAATGATTTAGTCTATGTATTTTCAAATTTGTAACAATTTAATCCTTGAACTTTAATATGTAACAATTTAGTCATGTATTTTAAAGTTGGTAATGATTTAGTCCTTATCTTGCATGTATAGATTGATAAACTAAAAAGGTACCAAATATGTTTGTGAATTAGAAATATTAAATTATTATATGATAAAATTTGAAACTTAATTTTAATAAAAAAATTTAGATAGGGACTAAATTGTTACAAGTTAAAATTCAGGACTAAATTGTTACTTTTAAAAGGACAAAATGTGATTTTTAACCTAAATAAATCTATTTTAACACACAAATATCTAAAATTGTGGACAATGACTTTTTTTAACCGTTTGGGTAATGGAAGCTAAACTTCCTTTTGGTTCTCGTCGAAAACAACTATAGTCTTTTTAACCCATTTTAATAAAAGAACTCGAAAAAAAAAATTAAAAATTTGAAAAATAAGTTTTTTATAATTCTAAGAGTTTTAAAGGAAACAACAAACTTTTTTATAAATGTCTCAAAAGGAAAAAAAAAGATCATCAAAAAAAATTTTATTTATAAAACAAATAATACAACAAACCTAAACACCTAAATATAAATGTACATGCAATATTTCATTACCATTATTGAATTATAGAAATCAATATATATTCAATAAATCTATATTGGGAGAACGTAAGAAAAATATTTTTTGACCATTTTATCCCTTACTAAATTTACAATTTATCAACTATGTCATTAACACATTATTAATATTAAATTAATTATTAACTATTAATTATTAACTATTAATTATTAATACTAAATTTATAGAATTTAAAATATTAGAATGTTATAACATAAAATTAATTTTTTTCTTTAATTATCGATACTACTAGATGTATAGGATTTAAAAGGTTATAATGCGAAAAGTTTTTCTACGACATAAAATTAATTAATTTTTTATTTAATTGTAATTCATATAGAATTTGAAGAGTTTAAGAATTTCAAAAGTCTTTGTAACTTTTTATTGTCTACTACTATAAAAATAGGCTTTCTTCCACCATTTTTTTCACGACATTTTTCACTACTTTATTTTTAATTTTCTCAAAACATCTCTAAAATATTATTCAATCTCGAAAACATCTCAAGATGTTTGTGACATATTCATCAAATTGCAAATGATGCACGTGCCAAACCTATATATCTCGAATACTATGTTTGCAACGTTACCGTTTTACAATTTTATGAAGTTGGATGTACCTAAAAGATGAGTGTATAGTTGGGATTTGAATGTTTTTTGTTACTATTTTATTCTCTTATTACGAAAAAGAGTTCTTCTCCATTGCTCTACTCATAATATGAGTCCGGTTTTATTTTGTCTATTTTTATTTTCTCTCTTTTCCTTAATTTTTCCAGTATCCATAAACTGAAAAGCAATTTAGGATGGTGTGTGCAAGAAAATATGATACATGAGTCAATCTATGTTATGAATTATAGATTTTAGATGTTAGAATTTGATTTTGAAGCTAGCTATGCTTATCTTGCAATAATAAAATACTGATATTAAAATATGGGACATGGTGAAATCGGCAAATGCTATGAATTTAGTTGGATTGAATCTTGATATAAAAACTAAGCGGTAACTTTAAAATTCATAGAAAACTTGAAATTATATATAAATATATAGAAAGTTTGTAGTGATACACATTTTAATTTTTTTTCTTTGTTTATTATTTTACTATTAGTGATATTTTTTTATTAAAATTAATTAAGTTAAAAATATTTCGTACAATACACGTGTTAGCACACTAATACCCATATATGTACCCTTCACAATAACAGCATACACAATTTTTTTTTTTTTTAGAAAAACAGCATACACAAACTAAAATATTTATTTAGGGACCGTTTGATTGGAGAGTTTAAGAGGGGAATGGACTTTGACATATAAAATCTATGTTTGTTTGGAGATTTGAAATTTGAAATTATATGCCTCCGAACTCTTTTCCGAGGCATATTAGAATGGGAGACGTTTTTATCATATAAAAAAACGTGGATTTTCTCTTTTAAGCCTTCTCTCCCTCCAAAAAATCATCCCTCTCACCTCTAAAACTCATCTCCTCTCCCTACTTCTTTACCCTTTTTTTTCTTCTTGTTTTTCTTTTGCTTGCTATTTGGTTTTTTTTGTCTGCACCATTTTTTTTTTCTACTATTTATTTTTTCCTTCGTGCTTTGTTATCATTTTATTTGTTTGTTTTTTCTTTCCTCTATTAATTATTCTTTTAATTTCGACAAGAACTCAAATTTTTTTTTATCCTTAAATCAAGATTCAACAACAAATTAACTCTATCTTAAAAAATTTAAAATAAAATTTTAGAATTAGAAGCAGTTTTTTTAATTGTTTAGAATTATTTTTTTAATAATTTAACTTAATAGAAATAAATCAACTACCAAAACACAGTAACCAAATCTGAACTCTAAGATAAATTTTAATGGTTGAGGGTAGATTTTGATTAATTTTTAAACAAATCTGACACCATCCGAGTAATCATATTAATCATTTATTCCCATAAAATTATCCTAACATTTTGATACGTAACCAAATACAGTTATTTTTATTGTCAGGTATCTTATTTCCAGACAATTTAATCTCAAACTACATTTTTTAAACCTTCAGCTTCTTAGTATCATTGAGTGGTAGATGAATGTAAAAAATATACCTAACTTTCTAAGGAGAAGCTAACGGAATCGAAATACACTAAACCCAACTAAACAGAAAATCTCCAATGCAAATCGCCAATGTAAAAGTCAATATATATGCAACATATACTCATATATCAGCAAACACAAACCCAAAAGCTTCATTTACTATCATTCAATGGTATATTTAAAGAATGTAAAAACTATACTTATTTTTTTGAAACAAATGTAAAAAATATATTTTAACTTTCTAATGATAAGCTAATGGAACCGATATATGTTAGAACCGAAAACCTCCAATGAAAATCGCCAATGTATTGTCGTCGTATTATCGCTGGCTATCGAACCCAAGCATCCGAATATTGAATTCAAACCCCCTAAACCAGAAAAGTGAAACTAGAAACTCGAAATATTTGAGAACTGACGCTGAAGACGGTTAAAATCGAAAAGGAAAATCAAATGGGCCAAACAAAAGTGTTTGGAAAATAGAATAGTTTGTTCTTGCGGCAACTACCGGGGAGAGGCTTGCTCTAACTGTGACCTTGCCTTTCTTTGATCTGCTTTTGAATTATTTGAACACGCCATCATGTTTTTTGTACCAATTTCCTACAAAATTATACACAATCCAACAATAATCTAAAAGATCTCAATTACAATAATTCCAATTCTAATGAATGATGAGTGATGAGCATTTAGAACTTAATTACGTGGTGTTGGGTAGTGGGGTGATCCATGGTTGAGGTGTGAAAGCAACAACACTCATATTTAAAAGAGAGGTTTGGGTTTTGATTATGAAGGTAGAGAGAGAAGGGGGAAAGGGGAGTGAGGAAGATAGGACCGCGAAATGGTTTATAGAATAGAGAAAGAATATGAAGCTATTTAGAAAATTGAGCCGAAAATTAAGTAGTTGTCTTGCCTGAGATGGTCAAGTAAGAAGCGAGCATACTAATTATTCAGGATCATCAAATGAGGGATCTTTCTTTGATTTCAATAAGCAAAGCAAGTAAACATTGAAAAGTTGCACCATAGTAAACTCATTGTTTTCTTTTCGAAGAAAAACTTCAACAAATTCACAATCTATCGCTTTTGACCCCTCCCCCCTTACTATGGACATTCCTATAATTTTATATTGAGCTTCCCTTAAACTTGGTAAAATGAAATAGTTGAATAATTGAAAAATGAGATTATTCAAGAATACACAAGATTACACATTGAGTTTCTGGTAGTATGGGTTAGATAGAAGTATAAATCTTTCAAATTATAGACACTCTTGAAATTATGATATCAAAAGGGCTACTTATCTGCTTATGCAGGGGTGGAAACTCTTTAAAGTTGACATGCATATCATCCGTGATATGCTGGGCCCTTCAATGGGTGAGCGCGTAAACTTAAGTTCAAAAGTTCTGAAGTCCATTTCTACGTGCATGTAGGCATCATTCACGAACCACTGAAACCTTCATTGAACTTCTTCAATTCCTCTTCCTACAGTCTTCTGCCTATGATGTGGTAAATTCTTCGGCTGTAACTTACACAAACAAAAAACAAACAAAAACCACAGCCTTGACATACTGAGAAATAGCAGCTTCAGCAGAGAGGGTATATCCCAGACATCTCTGAGGAAAAAGATTATGAAGTGGGAACTTAAGCTTAGAACTGGAGCTTAAATTAGCCTTTATAGTAGTACCCATGTTTGGCTCAGCTGAAGTGGCAACTTAAGCTGATAAAATAAACTGTTGTATCTAAATTTTAACTCCAAACATTTGAAGAATTTATTTGGTGCAGCCACATTATGTATGCCCTTCTATATAAAGCATGAAACTACTTTCGTTCATTTCTATTGAAAGATACCATGTACTTAATTATGGGAGGGCAAGCCACAATATAGAAGGCATGCTCGAGAGTTTCTACTTTTATAGACTAGTTTTATTTTCCTTGAAAAATTGGAACTGAAGGAAGGAGAAAGTAGTAAGTCAACCACAGAAGGAAGCCCCCTATTGCCCCTTCATTTATATTTACGTATACGTATCTGATTGAAACAAAGACAATCTACTGTTCTGTCCCCTTTGTTTCTCAATTCTATGCATGATGTACACTTGCTAGTGCAACCTGGGGGAAGTCCATTCAGACCTTTATTATCATTTATACCACTCGTGCTGACTGAATATTTCGAACAAATTTGTTCAAAGTTGTTGATTGTCCTGGCAGCTTCAAATCATGAAATTCATTAGGACAGTTCATACAGAGAGACATGCAAAACAGAATTAAGGATCTGCAGCTACATTTCTCTCAAATAACCATCAGGACGTATTCATGAATAAAAAAAAAGTAATATCTTAAGACATTGACCAACAGAGACAAACCTCTACATACAATCCACCAAACTTCCAACATCAACAAAAAATAGAAAAGGAAACAAATGAGGCAACACTAACAGAACACACATATCAACCAAATAACAAATGATAAATTTTAATTTGCAAGAAAAAAAAACCTCATGTGATCGCATAACAAGCACTAAGATACAGACTGAATGATTGAACTAATATATTCAAAGATGTGAAGGTAAAATCAATGCAGGTAAGCTTCTTACTTGTTTCTTCTTTCCCTTCTCACAATCGCTGACATCATGGCTAGAATGCTTCACTCTCTTAAAACCTTGACCTTGAACCTATACAGGAGCTTCTTCTTCTTGGACGTTGGATTGTCAATAGTAAGTAACACTTTTCCCAGCTCAGAGACTTTGAAACTTTGAGAGATCACTGGTTCATCTGTTGCAGTTATTTTTCTTGCCTTTTGTATTATCACAGTATATGCTTCTTCGATATTGGGCACAAATTCAGCGCTGTAGCTCACCTCCCATCCCACAACACGTAGCTCCCAAACTATAATGCACTTCTGCAACGTAATAAATATCTCAATCACACGAATAATAAATACTCCCATTCGACAGTATACTGAATATATGTTGTGCAAGCAACATACACACAGACACGTGTAGAAAGCAAAGACGGGCTTGTATACAAGAACATAAAAGCATGAAACACTGACACAAAACACGACTCTCAATCACACCTCATAAATTATAATTTCAACAGTTTGCTTAGTTGATGGTTTTACTGAGACTTCAGTAACTTGATCAGAAGCATCGAAATCTGGGTTGCAATCACAATAATCAACACTCAAGCCACCATATTGAATTGGAACTTGTTCGGGAGAAACGTATCTGCATTGGAAGACCTAATAAGCCAATTTAGGAAAACCCATTTATACATACATAAACACATTCTTTCTTTACTTACTTGAAAAGGGTCTCGGCAGATTTTGTAGGCCCTGCAAAGATAAACTTGCTTTTGGTCCTCTGGGTTAGAAACGGGCTGATCATTGTATAGAATGCAAGATACCACCAAGGAACGTTGATAAATACCTTAGGAAAATCCACCCAATAAAATCAACAAATTTCAACCAAATATTTAAAAGAAGAAACAAGTAGATCATATCATCGTACAAAGAAGTCTAGATCCCAATTCCCATCAAATAAATTTGATGAAGAAAACAGTTCAAGACACTGTATAAAGTATAAACCTGTTTGGCTACGAATTCAGGATAGTTGTCCTGAAGCACCTGAAGTGCCTGTTTGGTGGCAAGTCGAAGCTCTCGCTTACCAGGACCAGGGGAGTTTTTGAGATCATTAACCTGAAAGATAGTGGAAATACCTCCCGGACGAAAATCAAGTTTCCTAATACTCCTTTCTAGGAACTGAATCCTCCAACGCAAGAACTTGGTTCGCTTTTTCTCGTCGGAGAATGTTTTTGAATATAAATCCTTGTTCTGGAACTCTCCGAAGACATTGTAACACACTGGATGGCTCTCCCTGCTATATCCGTGCATGTACACCACCTTCTCCAGATCATCCCCCAGATTCTCGTCGACAAGTGAGTCAATACCAAACTCCTCCCTCCACCGAATTGTGTTCCGAAGCATAAGGAATGAATCCCTCACTTTGAAGTCCCTCGCCCTCAAAAACTTCAGAAGGATCACCTCCGTCCGATCATCTTCAAGAAGAGGAACCCCCCAAATAGACAGCTTCTTCTCCAGCAGACTTAAAGTTTGAGTTGCTTCCTGGACTTCCTTCGCTCGATTTTCCTCGACTTTGGTAATTTCTGTTGGTGGACCGGGAGGCGTAGGTTCAAATTGGAATAGGTGGTTCTTCATAGCTTCTTCAACAAGTTGCCTCAGTTCCTGAAGAGCTTTCCTCTCGGAATCTGCGAGATCAGCCACTCTGTTACTTTCCTCCTTGAAAGAAACCAAAGTCTGAGGAAGCTTCTGCTCCTCGATTGCATTAGATTTAGTAGATTCAACACCAATAACGTCTCTTCCCGAATGGGAAGGTTTTGCCTCTACCTCAGAGTCAAGTTCTGTAGATCGAGGTGGTGGCTGCAGTGGCTCTTCTTTCTCCACCACCAGCACGGAACCAAACTCGACCACTGCTGCCGGGGGTAACAACGTAACCGGTTCGTTTTCAGCAGCTGCCAACGATACAGACTCCGCAGCAACTTGTGTTGGTGGAATTGACTCTTTTTCGGGTTGAGCAGGAGAATCAGCCACCAGCACCAGAGATTCCGCAGGAAGGGGTAAGGGATCTTCTTCCTGGGCGTTAGATGGTTGGCGGTCGGCGGGGGGTGGAACTGCCGGGGTCCGGTCGGCCATTAAAACAAAGGAGTATAACTGAGATGATACTGAGTTGGAAAGAGAAAGAAGGCCACCTTTCGGTAGCGTTTTGTAATTTATATGCGAATTTTAGATGAGCAACTACGCCAGATGAAAAACTTGGAAGAATCCAATGTTACAATTACAAAACACGACAGGGATCCACTGAACAATCAAACAATTTGTACCATTAGAAAAAGACAATCAAACAATTTTTCAGGACATGGAGAATACGGGAAATGGAATTCTCAAGGAGTGGTTTGATCGAGTTGACTTATAAAAATTCGGAACCATCACAAACCCTCTTTAAGAGCATTTTACCCATCAACAAACCTCAATTTCCCCTCTCAATTGAGCAGCTCAAAAGGGTAATTTACTATAGATAAGAGCAATTTGGCACAAATTTTAGTTTAAGGCCATTGAATCAATTTTACAGGTTCACCCAATGATTAGGGTGAGAATTCACCCAATAACACGTCATCGGTTCGATCCAAAGCCACACGTCTAAATCTTGCAAGACGCGAGTTCGAAAATCAGTTTGCAAATTGCCAAACTTGATTGCTTACGACCAAACTTAACTCTAACGCCTGAGCAAATAACCGCATAATTGAATTCCCCCTTAACGCGTACAATTCGCTCAGAATCATCGAGATAACCATGAATTTGAATTCCTTACACCAACGGTTATCATATTACACTATAAATACCCTTAAGTTAAAGGGAAAGGTATGTGATCTATCAGAATTGAGATATACTTAAATTAACTCATATCCTGTACTAATAAAAGCTTTGGACTGCTAACTCATTTTTTGCACGATTATGTCTTCGAGTGTTCTTGGAGATTTATTCTATCTTCGAGGCGTCATCTGTGAGAACGATAATTCTCAAGTCTATACCAGCAAAACTCACAAGTGAGCCCAAAATTTTATTTCCTAACTATGGCGGACAATTTTTCCCAACAGTCTAGTTTCGATGACAGTCGATCCCGTTCCTCTGTTCACACTCCTGCGCGAGGAAGGGAACGACCACCTCTCCAATTCTGCGAAGCAAATGGGTCAAGAAGTAACAGGGTTGCAGGCAAAACTGAATGAGGTTTGCATGAAGTTAAGTGGTGTAACCCACTTACGCGCGGAGATCACGAAGCTGATTATAGCTATGTGCAGAAACCACGCTCATGCAGAGTAAACAAGGGATATCCAAGAACCGTTAGCACGAGCTCGAAAAATGGATATTGAAGAGGACAGGATGATCGAGTCCAAATTCAGCGCGACCCAAATAAAAGAAAAGCATCGGCAGTCGATGGTCGAGAGACCCCACGTGAGGGGCGACAATGGACGCAAGCCACTGAGTGACTAAACTTGGGACCGTGGAAGACAACTCTTGATCCCCATAGGGATCTGTGTGACTATCTGAATTCGAATGTCGGAGATTAAAGGCAGACCTTGAATGCCCGAGCAAAGGGTCAGCAAACTCCGCTGCACTAAACTCCAGGGTCGACGGGTGTGTAAACTGAGCAATAAGAGGTAAACATGCGTTTAAAGTGTCACCGAAACCCAAAATTACCAAAAGGGTGATTTTGGTAATATTGGTAATTTTTGAAAAGGGCATAATTACAAGGTTTTCTGAGTAATTTTTTGGCCAAAAAATGGTTTATTTGTCTGGATAAACAATTATTCAAAAAAAAAACCCTTACTCTCGAACAAAGCAAGGGATTGAGCTGCGGACGACTTTGCCTCCCCAGAAGAAAAAGAGCCCCTTAAGTTACCCGAAGCAAGGATCCTTTTGCTTACCGATAAAAGAATGTTGGGTTACTCTGAGAAATCTCATTTCTTTCTCGTCCACTCAGGGGACCCACGCCTAGGGATATACAAGCGYCATTCTTCAGATGGATCGCTGCCTATGAATGTGGTTTCGATCCTTCCGGTGATGCCAGAAGTCGTTTCGATATACGATTTTATCTTGTTTCCATTTTATTTATTATCCTTGATCCGGAAGTAACCTTTTCGGGAAGAGGAAATCAGGTGTGAGGTCTGAAGTCAACGGCAACCAAACCCAAAATTACCAAAATGACGTTTTCGGAATAATTTTTTTGCCACAAAATGGTTTATTTGTCATTTAATAGGATGCTGGGCAAACGGGAAGGAAAATGAATGTGTAAAGTGGCACCAAAACTTAAAATTACCAAAAGGGTGATTTTGGTAATATTGGTAACTTTTGAAAAGGGCATAACTGCAAGGTTATCCGAATAAATATATTTTTTTTTGCAACAAAATAGTTTATTTTTCATTTTTTTATGGGTTCTGAGCAAACGGACGTGTCGAATGGCACCAAAACTCAAAATTACAAAAAAAAGGACAATTTTGGTAATATTGGTAATTTTGGAAAATGACATAATTGCAAGGTTTTCTAATTTTTTTTTTTTGTCAAGTTTAGAGTTTAGGGTTTAAGATTAACCCGGTTAGGAGTTTAGCGTTTAGGGTTTAAGGATTAGCGTTTGGGATTTGGGGTTTAAGAGTTAAGGCCTAGGGTTTAGGGTTCTTTATTCAAAAGATTGACTTTTAAAATTTATGATATTTCATTTTTTTTACTTTTAATAATTAAATAAATTTTAAAACAGGAGTTGAAATACATATTGAAATTAATAATTTTAATACATTTACAATATTAACAATAAAAAGAAGGCAAAGGTTTGAATATAAATTTTTTTCAATTTATCCTCAAATTAATTCTAAAATATTATAATTTTATCTTTAATTATAACTAATAATTGAATTTTAAAAGTTACTGAGGATGAGTTATTCTGATGAGAGTTCATCGTTGATGTCGAGATGAGCTATTCTAATGAAAGTTCATCGTTGAGGTAGATGTAAGCTACTAAATAGGAGCTCATTGTTGGTGTCAAGATGAGCTATTCTAATGAGAGTTCATTGTTGATGTCGAGATGAACTGCTTCGATGAGATCTCATCGTTGGTGTTGATATGAGCTATTCTAATGACAACTCATCGTTGAGGTTGAGGTGAGCCCTTTCTTCGCAAGTTATAGTCTTAGGATCTGTCTACTATCTAGCCTTAGAGGTACATTCACCTCAACGACACATTTCTTGAGATGGGAACTTTGAGAAGGTCAGCCAAAGAGTTCGATTCAGAACTTGGAGAAGCTTTGCATTGTGCACTTGAGAGTTTGCGCATGGAGCTTGGATTTAGCTTGACTTAAGTTGGACGCTGAGTTTGAGCTTGGAGCTTGGATGAGTTTGGGCCAAGCTGGGTGTTTAGGAGTTTAAAGTTGGAGTTTGACCTAAGTTGGACGCTTAAGATTTGACATGCGTACTTTATGCTTTGGTGCCCCCATTGAGTATAGGTCAGCAACTCGGTAGGGTGTCATGCTTGGTCGAACATGATTTGGTGATCGAAGTTAATCCTTAAGGTAGAGTGGAGCTATATGGTGGTTCTTTTTTTAGGTCGAGGTGACCTGTCTCATGTGAGCTTATCGTTTTGACCGAGATGAGCTGTCTAATGAGAGCTCGCCTTAGCTGAGATGAGGTATCTGATAGAAGCTTCTTATTTAAGTGGGATGAGCCAACTAATGGAAGTTCGGAAGAGCTATCAAGTGAAAGTTTTTCCTTAAGACGATGATGAGCTCATCTAGAAGCTCTATCATTTGTTAGGGACGAGCTATCTCTGATCCAATGACTTCACCCATGAGAGCTCATCTTTTGAGTTGATGGAGACTCATCCTTGAAGGGAAAGTCATCGTTCAAGTGAAAGTCATCTTTAAGTGCAGGTCATCCTTAAGGTCAAGAGTGAGAGCTTCCTCGAGGGGGAGGTCATCATCCATGTGTAAGAGATCTCTATTAATATTAATCAGTTACATCTCAAAACCAATTTTCAATGAAAGGAGTAGTCCATATCTATTATAAACCTACGTAAGACCTTTTTTTTTTTATCAATATGATCCTTAACAATCTCATTGTCATTCAACTTAATTACAATCAACCATTTACCAAAGCAGTCCCCCTTCTACCCAGAAAATTACAGCATCTCTCACACCTCTCCCTTACCCAACTATACACTACA